TCTCATAGTTTGAAGAACTAGTTTAATAGAATTCCGTTTTACGTTCAGATAACCAATAAATAACATGAAACCATTTGGACCCCAAAAAACATATTTCAAACGACAAAGTTTGACACATTTCTTCCAATTGTATTCATAGCTTCTAAACTGACATTTTAATCGGTGTTGTCATAAATTCCAATAATTAGTTTTTTAAACTATAAAAATGGATTGGTCTCATTTAAAATGTAATGCTTTATTGAACAAAAAACTATAACATTGGTTTTCATGAGAGTAATGTATTTTTTGTAGTTTTTAAGTTCTACAAACGAAATATTTTTTTCAAAATTGTAAAATAGGCTAAAAAATTAAAAATAAAATTTTATTTTTTTTAAATAAAGTTTTGAAAATGTACAAAAACGAAAAAAAGCGAAAACATCAAAATATGCACTAAAAGAGTAAAATATGCTCTAAAAACTCGAAAATATGCCTTAAATATGCTAAAAAGGTGAAATCATGCAAAATTATGCTCTTATGGGTAAAATATGCAAAAATATGCTCTAACAAATCGATGCCAAAATTCTTAAATTGGTCTGAAACGTGTAAATATCTTATCCATGAGTCCATACGACGCACCACAAAAAACATGCATTTGCATATTTTGGTTTCCCTGATTATCAGTATATTTTCCGAAATATGAAATTGGCAATAACTATTTTATCATGCGCTGATAGTTCTCATAAATGTTTACGAATGGGTACTAATTTTATTTGAAGACAGCTTAACCCGTATTTTTAACGATTTTTTAAATTATATTATTTTAAACCGCTATAACTTTTGCACGCACCATTGAAAACAATTAACGTTTCAGGAAAATAATTCCCGCATAATTTCTCAGGAATTCGGGATTGAAAATTCTGCGGAATTCCCGTCCTGGGATTTCCCGTGAAATACACTAGTACATACCCAGCAGTCCGCAGGTTATTACAAATTAAAATACCTCCAATTGTATACTATGTCATACAACTAGCATCCTATTCAGATCAGTATTATTCCTATCCTATTGTAAAATTAAATGCACATTTATTTATTTCATTTCGTTTTTATACCCTCCACCACCATCAGTGGTGATAGAGGGTATATATAAGTTTGTCGTTCCGTGTGTAACACCAAGAAATATTCATCTAAGACCCAACAAAGTATATATATTCTGGGTCCTTATGAAATTCTGAGTCGATTAAGCTATGTCCGTCTGTCCGTCTGTCTGTCTGTCTGTCTATGTAAAACACGCTCACGTTAGAACTAAGCAAAGGAAATCAACCAAACTCACCCAAAATATTTATTATTATCCTAAGCAGTTTGGTATTGAAAATCAGCAAAATCGGTTCACAACGTAAAAAGTTATGAGTAAAAATTTAAGACTACCTCGAAAAAAATTACGTTTTTTTCATAATTCTTTTGAAGTTTTCTCAGAAACTACTAAAGATATTTCGATGAATTTTGTCACACATTATTTTTTCATGGCAGTGATCAATTATGTTGAAAATCTTTAGAATCGATCCAATATTTCCCATAGCCCCCATACAAAGGTATATATTCCCGGAAATTAGTTTATCGTTAATAACTCCCTCAAATATATCGGTATCAACACAAAATTTTGTACATGCAAATATAATATGAACAGAAATCATACTTTTAACGTAGATCTCAGTCGGTCCACAATGGGCCATAGCTCCCATACAAGGTCCACTTCCGAAAATCACCTAAACGGACATATTTCAATGATTAATAAAGCTATTGTGATAAAATTCGAGTTAAATATGTTTTGTGTACATACAAATCATTCTACCAAATTTTTTACGGATCGGTCCATTATTGGTCATAGCTCCCATATAAGGCCCACTTCCGAAAATCATTTAAAAGCTCATATTTCATTGTCATATAAAGCTATCTTGATGAAATTCAACACAAATATGTATATTCTAAATATAAATCACTCCACGAAATTTTTTCCGGATAGGTCCATATTTGGTCATAGCTCCCATATAAAGTCCCCTTCCGAAAATCACTTAAACGCATATATTTCATTGAATTATAAAGCTATCGGGATAAAATTCGACACAAATATGTATACATATTGTATACATACAAATCATTTTGCAAATTTTTTTACGGATCGGTCCATTATTGTTCATAGCTCCCATATAACCCCACTTCCGAAAATCACTTAAAAATACATATTTCATTATCAAATAAAGCTATCGTGATAAAATTCGACATAAATATATTTCGTATAAATATAAATTATTCTACTAAATTTTTTCCGGATAGGCCCATAATTGGTCATAGCTCCCATATAAAGTCCCCTTCCGAAAATCACTTAAACGCATATATTTCATTGAATTGTAAAGCTATCGGGATAAAATTCAACACAAATATGTTTTGTATAAATTCAAATCATTTCACCAAATTTTTTACGGATCGGTCCATTATTGGTCATAGCTACCATTTAAGGCCCACTTCCGAAAATCACTTAAACGAATATATTTCATTAAATTCTAAAGCTATAAGGATAAAATTCGACTTGAATATGTTTTGTGTACATATAAATCATTCTACCACTTTTTCCCCGGATCGGTTCATTATTGGTCATAGCTCCCATATAAGTCCCACTTCCGAAAATTACTTAAACGCACATATTTCATTGTCAAATAAAGTTATCTTGATAAAATTCGACACAAATATGTTTTGTCTTTATATGAATCACTCTACGAATTTTTTTCCTGATAGGCTCCCATAGAGGGCCCACTTACGAAAATCACTTAAACGCACATATTATAATAAAGCTATATGGATAAAGTACGACTTAAATATGCTTTGTGAGCATATAAATTAATCTACCAAATTTTTTCCGGATTGTTCCATATATGGTAATATTTCTTTCAAAAAAATCACTTAAACGCACATATTTCATTATCAAATAAAGATATCTTGATAAAATTCGACACAAATATGTTTTGTGTAAGGTCATAGCTCCTATACATATAAAGTCCACTTCCGAAAATCACCTAAACGCACATATTTCATTAATTAATAAGTCTATTGTAGTAAAATTCGACTTGAATTCTTTTTTGGCATACTAATTATCAACCTTATCGGTTGATAATTAGTCACAACTCCCATATAAGTACCATTTCCGAAGATTACTCAAATGCACATTAACAATCAAAATTATCGGGATAAAATTCGACATAAATGTGCATTTTGTATATATAAATCATTCTACGGATTTTTTCTTCCGGATCGGTCCATAGGTTGTCTTAGCTCACATATAAGGTATACTTCTTGAAATCACTTAATATCACTTAATTCGTAATTAAATGATTATATCCGGATAAAATTCAAAATGAGAATGTTCTGTGTACTGATAAATCATTATATTAAAATGTTATCAAACTGGCCTATTAATATACATTTTTCTAGACCTAATTAAAATTAATTTGACATATGCATAAATGTTAGTACCCTCAATAAGGAAACAAAAATTTTGCCAAGTTATCTAAAAATTATATAGTTAAATGGTTTTCAATAAAAAGTAGCTTGCTGGTGGAGGGTATTTAAGATTCGGCATAGCAAATAATATTATTTGTTTCAACTCATTTGATATTTGCTTCATTTGATATTAATATTAATACCAAATTTTTTTATATAAGTTTGTAATTCCAACTTTTGAAATCGTATTTCATTTAAACCTTAAAAGGGCAAGAGCTGATTATGAAAAACTTAGTACATCGAGTTAATACAGTAGATTTTTCTATGTGTGAAAATTACTTTGCATGGTGTAATAAGGGCACGCTACATTTGTTGTATAGAAAATTTATGAACGTGAGTGAAAATATGTGAGTCAATATTAATAAGTATTTTCAAAATATGTATATTAAGATTTATGTATGTATGTATATCAAACACTAATATAATTATTGTAATTGTAATATGATTATTGTAATTTTGTTAATAGTTTAGTAAAATCGGTTGATATAAAACAATATTTAAAAGTTTATTTACAACTCATTCACATATATGGAATATAGGTGTTCCAAGGTTTTCCCATTTTTTTTTAATTTGCCTCGATGTAGAGCGTAGTTTCTTCACAGTTAAAGTAAATCGTTTTTTCTATAGAAAACTAAGTTCTTTTTCAGAATGAAAAATTCAGCGGTTTATTTTTTGCGTTAAAGTTTAATGTTGACTATTTTAAACATTATTGTATACATATTTTTCAAAATTTTAAAAGTGGGCGTGGTCAGTAGTAATATTTTAATTATATTTGATATGCTTAATACTAATTTTAATAAAATTTTGTTTTAAACAGTGACCAAAAGTGAATTCTCAAAACATTTAAATCAAAATTAAGATAAAGTGGACATGGCCATAATATAACCACTGCATTTCTTATAGGGTTATCACTATGTTTATGATAATCATGCAGGGAGTACTGAATACAAGGTGACATCGCTAGCCCAGCTGATCATTGTTTACAATTTTTTATACATAGACTTGTATGCTTGTGGTTGCTCTCAAGTGCTGGTACCTTGTTCAGTATACCGTGATAATCATGTGCATTTGATTTTAGATATCGTTAAAATTGAAAAGATATTTATTTAATCTGTAACTCTAAAATTTTCGGGTTTACAAAATTTAGTTTTTGATATCACTGATGACGTGATAAATATGGATAAATAAAGAAATAAACCAATGAAAATTAAATATTTTTTACAGTTATTAAAAAAATAAAAAAAAAATTTTTAATTGTGTTAGATTTTCGCGGCATTCTTTTAATCACTCGACAATCCGCAAACATTTTACTGTATAATTTAATAAAAAATGATTTTTGCTATTCCCTTGTATACATAAGTATGTATATTTTTTAAAATTGTATAGAAAATTTGTATATTATCATAAATGTTTATCTATTATCTACATTCATAAGTTAACGATCAATAAAATATGTTTGTCATTTGCAGGTTCTTCATCAATGGCACTGTTTTCTTCATAACATTACGCATACAATTGGTAATGAAAAGCAGAATTTACCATACCGCCAATTCATGGTTTGTAGACCAGAGGTTAAAAAATCTGAATTGCACCCTGATGAAGGAAATGTTCAAAAGATTACAACCAATTTCTTCTATGGCACCCTTCTTAATGAAAAGGGTCAAATTGACGATGACTTAATGCTGCGAAAATGTGTATTTTTTGGGGGACTTGAGAAGAGCCTTCGCAAGACCGTTTGGCCCTTCTTGCTTAAGTGCTATTCGTTTTCATCGACTTTTGAAGATCGTGCAGTTTTAATGGACATCAAACGTCAGGAGTATGAGGAAATCACTAGAAGACGCTTATACTCAATGTCACCAGAAGAACAGGTCCATTTTTGGAAAACCGTACAGTGTGTGGTTGAAAAGGATGTTGTGCGTACTGATCGATCAAATCCATTTTTCTGCGGAGACGACAATCCCAACACTGAAATAATGAAAAACATTTTGTTAAACTACGCATTCTATAATGCTGGAATATCGTATTCGCAGGGCATGAGTGATTTGTTGGCCCCAGTACTGTGTGAAATACAAAATGAATCTGAAACCTTTTGGTGTTTTGTAGGACTAATGCAACGTGCATTTTTTGTGTGCACTCCAACTGATAACGATGTCGATAGAAATCTTAATTTTCTGCGCGAACTTATACGTATTATGTTGCCTCGGTTTTATGAACATCTCAAAAATCATAGCGATGCTTTGGAATTACTATTTTGTCACCGATGGCTCTTGCTCTGTTTTAAGCGGGAGTTTACAGAAGCTGTAGTTATTAGAATGTGGGAGGCATGCTGGTCAAATTATTTAACAGACTACTTTCATCTTTTCCTCTGTTTATCTATTCTTGCCGTATATGCCGATGACGTTATTGCTCAAAACCTTCGAGCTGATGAGATGCTGTTGCACTTCAGTTCTCTTGCCATGTACATGGATGGACAGTTAATATTGCGAAAAGCTCGTGGATTGCTGCATCAATATAGGCAACTCCCTAAAATTCCTTGTACATTAGCAGGACTTTGTAAGAGATGTGGTCCCGGTATGTGGGATTCGGAACATAGGCCAGCTTTGGAATGTGTCGGACACACTGAAGATGAAAAATGTTCCTTAGCTATAGATTAAACTTACATTTGTTTTGAAATTAACTATTTTTAATTCAACATGTTGCACACAAGTATGAAATGCTACTATAATACATATGTATTTGTTTTCTTTATTACTACTATAAAAATATTTATTAATTCGTTGAGCAAAATACTAAAAAAATAACAAACATAATTAATAATAATGCAATAACAAATAAAAGTATCTTATTAAAAATAAGTGTATCAAAAATTAACTATTAAATATAAAACGCTTCATGTGCTTTTTGCTATGATTACTTATAAAAAATCATATGTATATCACGATTCAAATAAAACTAATGTTCGAATTGATAAACTTTGAAATGGAAAATTATACTCTTTAATTACGATTCTAAAAACTACATATTGGGAGACGGAGAATTTTAAAAGGCAATGCTATGCAACTAATAGCTGAGTATAAATACATACATATAAATAAATTTTAGGTTTTGTAAGCAATTTTGTATGCCCTACACCACTATAGTGGGAAGGGAAGAAACCCACCTCAACGAATTAGAATAATTTTCTAAATCGATTTAATCATGTCCGCTCATCCATGTAAACGGAAATTGCCGGGAATTATTTTCCTTAGTTTAATGCGATATTTTTGACAAAAACTGTTGTTTAAAATATATTGATTTGAAGTGTTAAATCCAGAGAAGATGTGTACATAAAAAGGTGCTAAATACTAGTAAACAAATTAGTATTTTTAAGCAATTTATTGGTGAAAACTGATTTTCTGAAAACAATAATTTTCACACATAAAAAACTCTATGTGTACAAGAAATTGTGGACCATTAGTATTTACTTTGTGTACTCAATTTTTCATAATCAGCTCTTATGTCCCTGTAAAAGGATTTTAAAGTTTAAAGGACATACGATTTCAGAAGATGGAATTCCAAATATATATAAAAAAATTGGTATTAATATTAATATCTAATGAAGCTCTGCTTCAAAATAATACTATTTTTTTCAATTCATCAGCATTAAAAAAGAAATGGAGCTTAAAGAAAATTTGTCACAAAAAAGTAGTTAACAGTTTTCTTTGAAAAAGAGACCTTTTTTATACCCTCCACCACCATCAGTGGTGATAGAGGGTATATATAACTTTGTCATTCCGTGTGTAACACCAAGAAATATTCATCTGAGACCCAACAAAGTATATATATTCTGGGTCCTTATCAAATTCTGAGTCGATTTAGCTATGTCCGTCTGTCCGTCTGTCTGTCTGTCTGAAAATGAACAAAATCGGTTCACACCGGGAAGAGTTATGAATCAAAATTTAAAACAACCTCGAAAAAAATAAGCATTTTTTACACATTCTGATGTAAATTTCTCGTAAACCATGCAAGATAAATTCATGAAAATCACCATACATAAGTTTCTACACAAGATCTTGATCCCTGCTAAAAATTGTTAGCATCGGTCCAAAATTTCATATACCTCCCATACAAAAGTACATATTCCCGTAAAATGGGTTTTTTGTTAATAACTTCCGCCACAATGTCGATATCTTCACAAAATTTTGCAAATTAAAGTCTTACGTCAATAGAATTCATACAGAGAAAACACTTTTTGCATTGGTCCATAATTGGACATAGCTCCCAAACAAGGTCCCCTCCCGAAAATCACTTAAACGCGCATAACTCATTACTAAATTAAGATATCCATTTAAAATTTGGTACAAGTATTATTCATATGCACAGAAATATTACTGTGAAATTTTTTTCCGATCGGTCCAAAATTGGTCATAGTTCCCATACAAGGTCCCCTCCCGAAAATCACTTAAACACGCATAACTCATTACTAAATTAAGATATCCATATAAAATTTGGTATAAGTATTGCTCATATGCATAGAAATATTACCGTGAAAGTTGTTTCCGATCGGTCCAAAATTGGTCGTAGCTCCCATACAAGGTCCCCTCCCGAAAATCACTTAAACACGCATAACTCATTACTAAATTAAGATACCCATATAAAATTTGGTATAAGTATTGCTCATATGCATGGAAATATTACTGTGAAAGTTGTTTCCGATCGGTCCAAAATTGGTCATAGCTCCCATATAAGGTCCCCTCCCCAAAATCACTTAAACGCGCATAACTCATTACTTAAATAAGATATCCATATCAAATTTGGTACAAGTATTGTCCATATGCATAGAAATATTACTGTGAAAGTTTTTCCGATCGGTCCATAATTGGTCATAGCTCCCATACAAGGTCCCCTCCCGAAAATCACTTAAACATGCATAACTCATTACTAAATTAAGATATCCATATACAATTTGGTACAAATATTACTCATATGCACAGAAATATTACTGTGAAATTTTTTTCCGATCGGTCCATAATTGCTCATAGCTCCCATACAAGGTCCCCTCCCGAAAATCACTTAAACGCGCATAACTCATTACTTAAATAAGATATCCATACATTTAGCACAAATATTGCTCTTATATACATAAATTACACTATAAAATTGTTTTACGTTCGGCCCATATTTGGTCATAGCTCTCATACTAGGTCTCTTCCAGAAAATCACTTAAATGCTCAATATTCATTACCAAATAATGATATGGATACAGAATTTTGAAATTTTTTCTTTATATACATAATTGGTCATAGCTCCCATACAAGGTCCTTTTACGAAAATCTGTTAAACGCACATTACTCATTACCAAGTCAAGCTATTGATACAAAATTTGGCACAAATATTAGTTTTGTATACAAAAATTCTATTTCAAGATATTTTCATGATCGGTTCATAACATTGTATGGTCCCATACAAGGTTCCCTTCAGAAAATCACTTAAACACACATTACTTATTACTGAATTACGATATAGATACAAAATTTTACTGAAACATAGCTTTTATGTACAGAAATTTTGCTTAAAGAATTTTTTACGATCAGTCTATAATTGGTCATATCTTCCATACTAGGTCCTGCCCCTGAAAGCGCTTTAACCGTATTTAACTAGTTGCATTATCAATTTGTGGAGAACAAAATTATATATATGTATTTTGAAAATCCTTAAATCTTTCACACACATGCATACATGCAAATTTCTAAATATCGCTAAGCGCTATAAAAATATAAAGAAAATGGCGTTTGTAATGTTCAATAAATCTTGGAATTGTAATATATTTAAGCTGTTTAAATCTTGAGATTTTTCTATTTAAGATATGAGTTAACTTATTTCTACAAATGTTTGATCAATTAGAAAAGTATTAATATAAAAGTATCTGGTGGAGGGTATTTAAGATTCGGCTCAGCCGAATATAGCACTCTAACTTGTTAAATTTACAGTAGTTTTCCGATTTAACGACCATTCAATTCTACGAACATCGCATTTAACGAACAAGCAAATTTTTGCTATTGAGTACCTTAAATAACGAACAAAAATTGTTTTTTGTACTCTGTTTAACGAACTAATAAAAATATTATTATTTAAATGAAGATAAAATGACATTTATCAAAAATAAAAAATAACCTAAGTTGTAGCAAAAAACTATACCGTTGTTTTAAGTGGTGCTTTTATACCCAAAATGGTAACACATTCTGGGTCCTTATTAAATTCTAAGACGATGTAGCCATGTCCGTCCGTCCTTCACATAATGACTTTAACGCTCATTACACGCTTAACAATACGAGTACGACGATGAAATTCGATACAAACATGTTCTATACTAACCGAAATCTCTGACAAATTTTATGGGAGTCTATAATTGACTCTACCCCATATCAGGCCCCCTTCAGAAAATTACTTCAACGCTCATTACTCGCTTAAAAATACGAGTGTAGCGATGAACTTGGAGAAATAACTTTAACGCTCATGAATGAATTAAAAATACAGCGATGAAATTCCACACAAGTATGGTTTGAAGGTGGGTATATAAGATTCTGAATTTTGTGTTTTGTGCTATTTTTATAAAAAAAGAATTAATTTTTATAAAAAATATTTTATGTACCTATTTTTAATTGTTTTCCTACCAAAAACCCACTTTTTAGATAGTACTGCATATAACGAACTTTTCAATTTTACGAACAGTCCTGACAACATATATGTTCGTCAAATCGGAAAACTACTGTAATTTCTTTTTCGATTTTAGTGGAATAAATTCTTTCTTTATGGAAAGTTGTAATATAAACATACCATTTCCCCCTTTTTCGCCCAGGAATAGACATTTCGAGAATTATGTTTTCAAAATACGGTGAGTTTAAATCAGAGCCCGGCGACGAATATGATTGGTCAGTTGGTGCAAGATCAAAAAATAAGAAAAGAGAACATTTTGTACTCTCATATTCACTACACACAGGCATGAAAAATTTTATTTTTTAATGGTGGTATTTTAATTAAAAGTAATAGTTATAATTTGTAAATTTCATTTAGACTTCTTTACTTATATCAATTTAAGAAATATTTAGATTTAAATTTGTTTCTTTTTGGAAATATACCTATTTAAAAAAACTTTCTGAGATATTTGGAAGTTATTATGGGGAATGTAAGTTAATACTCATTTTTCAATTTTAGTTTTGATATTAACTTTATTAAATTATTAATATTTAATTCATTTTAACTGATTCGTTAAGTTGTTTTTCAGATTCGGGTAAAATTTTGATTACAATAATAGATGTGTAAAATCATATAGATGTGAAAAATCATATAAAATGCATCTAATATTCCATTCGGTCATATCTGCAAAAAAATAAGTAATGCAGTATTAAAAATTGCTAAAGAGAATTAAAAAATCATTAAAAATACCCCAGAAAGTAGAGAAATAGAAAATGAGAACAAAAACAAAACTATCAATATTATTGTTTGTTTGTTGTTGTATATAATTATGATTTATGTGTGTGTGCGAAACACACCATTTTTAAATTAAATATTTTTTTTACATTAAATATTTTATATTAAATATTTTTTATATTATTAAAACATATTTAATTATTTTACACACGATACGTAGATACACGAGGCTTGTGAATTGGACATATATGTATGTATATCAAAAATAAAACTCGGACGATATACATAAATCTGCATTCATTTGCTCAAGAAAAATTATGTTTTCAAAAAGTACCAAACTATTTAACCGAAGTCATATGTAGGCCTTAGTACCAGAATTCCAAAATAACGCATCACAAATTAAGAAAGTATGATAAAATTCTACAAAAATTATTTGTTTTCGAAACTAATCAGTCGTTTAAATTCAATAGACCTCGGTCCACAATTGACAAAAACCCTCGTTAAAGGCCGTATTCTGAAAATCGCCCAGATATCCATATGAATATCCACACATGGTAGTATAATTCGCCAT